CTGGTCTCAGGTTTGACCCTTGGGGTAAACCTTAAGTCGATATAAAACACTTCAAAAAGGAGTGGCCAACACGAACAGTGCCCTGAACCATTCACATTCTACTGAACCATCCACAAAGCTTAGGTCACAGGCCGTGAAAGAGAAGTTTGCGGTGGAATAAATAATAATCTACACGGTCAAGGGCACTCGACATGTCATAATATACTGTATCAAGTTGTGTCAAGTTGGTTGTGGTTGTGGGTAGTGAACATTTATTGAAAAAAACAAAAAAAAAATGAAAGCCGCTTACAACTCCCTGTAACGCCGAATTAGAGCGCAGCTCTTGAGGAGGAGGAGGGAAGGGCACTGGGGGGGTTAAACTAACCAGGGGGGGGTCACGTGACCTTGGGGGTCACGTGACCCCCAATGCCGATGATGTCATCACTGACGTCACTGATGACGTCATCAGTGACGATGACGATGCGGGTACCGATGACGTCATTGGTGACGTCACTGATGACTTCACCAGTGATGATGACGATGACAATGCGGATGTCGGTAACGTCATCAGTGATGATGACGATGCGGATGCCGGTGACGTCATCAGTGATGATGACGATGACGATGTGGATGCCGGTGACGTCATCGGTGATGATGACGATGACGATGTGGATGCCGGTGACGTCATCAGTGATGATGACGATGACGATGTGCAGGCCGGTGACGTCATCAGTGATGATGACGATGACGATGTGGATGCCGGTGACGTCATCAGTGATGATGACGATGACGATGTGGATGCCGGTGACGTCATCAGTGATGACGACGATGACGATGTGGATGCCGGTGACGTCATCAGTGATGATGACGATGACGATGCGGATGCCGGTGACGTCATCAGTGATGATGACGATGACGATGTGGATGCCGGTGACGTCATCAGTGATGATGACGATGACGATGTGGATGCCGGTGACGTCATCAGTGATGATGATGACAATGTGGATGCCGGTGACGTCATCAGTGACGATGACGTCATCGGGGGGTCACGCGACATCGGCGGGGGTCACGTGACCTCAAGGAGGGGGTCACGTGACCTCAGGGGAGTCACGTGACCCCCCACGAGGTCACGTGACCCCGGTGGGGGGCTTGCGCGGTGCATTATAGGACATTTCCCATGATGCACCGCGCGGTTACGCCGACGGCGACGCCGACGCCGACGGCGACGCCGCTCAAGCCGGAAACGGGCCCCTAAGAGCTGCGCTCTAAAACACGAATTTGCTCCAACGAGCTCTCCCTTGAAAAAGAACTATGCCTCACATTTTTACTGACATAACTAGAGATCTGGTTATGTATAATCGTTTTGAAAACCTTTGCAAACTCACACATTATCAAAGTGGGACGCTAGTTATAATCTAAGGACGGATCACCGGCTTTGAAGAGGTGTACAACTAAAGATTATTCCGCAAACCAGAAAAAAACTTCATGAGAGATAGGTTAAATGTGTGTTCCAAAAGTAAATTAAATAAACAAAACCATTTCTTAATACTAAAATTGGGTCTACCTTTAGGCCCCGTGGAGAACTCCGGCTTTAGTTATCTAATAGCTTCAAGAACTACTGTGACAAAGCATTGAAGAAGTCTCTGCTTTTGTTAAAGGTCTCGATTGTACTATCAGTTTTTAAACCAGAATAGCAGTTACTAAAGTAACCATAAAAGCGATTGGCCGTGCCAATTTCTGAGGTCGAAAAGCCAGTTGACTCTCGTAAGCAGACGTTTGTTATATTGTCGTGCATGCGGTTTTTAGCATTGCGACTGTACGTTCGAGATTTCTTAGCTAAATGTTTTCAACATTCGGTGAATGTAAACGTTTTTCAATCTTTTATAGCCTTTGCACTAGAGTACGATAAATACTGCATTTAACGTACCAGATGTTCAGTCCAGTTTTCTAAGACATTTTATTATAGTGCGTCTTTATACAAAACAGATCTCAAGAGATCTTTAGATCAATTGAGATCTTAAGATCCCTCGAGAGATCTTGAAATATTTTGAGAACCAGCTAAAATACTGGGATTTACGTGCTTGTCCTTTCAGTATAAAATCCCTCGCCTCATTAGATACAACCAATGACAATGTAGTATTAACACATTCAACGTTTTGTTCCAATAATATGTGAGACCATTTGTTATTTGCAAGGCAATCCTAAAAGCCATAATTGTTTTACTGCAATAGCAAGACGAAGACAACTTACTACTAGCACAAGGCCTACATGACAGGCAAACTGAACTACCAAGGGAACATAACGTACATCAAGACGCACCGATGGTATAAAAACTGTAACAGTAAACCGTCTGGAGTACTTGATAAGCATAAATTGAGGACATTGGCAGCTGTATTTCGGCAGAATCTATACTCAATAAACCGAAAGAAATTAAAAAAAACATGAAACCAGGCCGCTTTTCTCGAAGCAATACTATTTAAACGCGATACCGTTTCAGTCGACTAATCAATATCAGGACTAAAATCACAATATTATGGTAAACTGCATTTAAATGAATCAACAATAATACAGATGTTTGCAATATGGTCAATAAACACGACATAATCAAAAAGTGAAGGTAAAAACTAGTTCCCAATTAAGTAATGAAACCCATCGCTCGCAGGAGTTTCTACCAAAAGGCCGCACTCAGCGTGAGTTTAGAGATCCGCTCTTCGAAACGATTTAGCTGCGGAATCAACAGCTATCAAACCCCCACGTCAAAGGTTTTGCCCTCTGTTCGCATAATCGTGATCTCTCTGGGGAGGGACATAGATTCACGAGAAGTATTAGAATCTTGATATTCTGTAAGACAAACCATTTCTAAATTTCTAAATCAGATGAAAAAAATATTTTTCATCCGTTCGGCAACCTTCGACTTTAGACCAGAAGCATTTTGATAAAAAAATGTTCGGCTGAGGAACTTAAGACTGCTTACGTATGGGAATTTGAAAGTATTACAGCCCCTTTGGTGAAATGTTTTTAGACTTTTAGAGAGCCAGATGGCTGCGACGTGACATGTGCAATGACGCACGTACTAGGCACACCTTTAGTCAGCCAGAACCGTGGAGCCTCCGTGGCGTCAGAGTAATCTTCTCTTACATACACAACGCACCTCCGGATTGGTTACCACTGCTAAATAAATTGGCCATTAAAAACAATTAGAGTGTTACAGATGTTTTTTTTTTTTTGTGGCTGACATATTTTAGCCTCTCTCTTTTGTTCTTCTTGAAAATATGTCGAAGCAGGCAATAAAGAAAAAAAAATCTGCCGTGGCGAGGGGGAAGCATGCTTACCACGCACCGCAAAGGCCCGGGTTTGATTCCCACCCAGACCGAAATGTACCAAAATTTATTTTCAAAGCCTTCAATTTACTTTCTTTACCGGAATCTCTCAGAAATTTGATGTCAAGCCAAGCATATTTGCAGGGGTTTCTACTCTTTGCGCCTTCGGCCATTTTTGGTACCATCACTCGGTTACGTCGCCGACGACGCCGGATTTTTGCGTAATGGGGCATATAATTCTTTCCAATTAAAGACACCTTTGGGTGTATATGCATAATTGCTTATGGTTGCTGTGTCAGGTAGGTATATGCGAGTCCTGTCAAGTTTGCCGTAAAACTGATAAACATGTATCCTATCGTGCATCAGTTTGAAGACTCATAAGAGCATATTTGATATTTCGTGTTCTTCTTAAAATAATCATGTTGTCACCACATTCTGCACTACACAAGTCTCATTTTTAGTTGAGCCTGTTGGTATGATGCTCAGAGCGATTACTTCTATCTAAATAAAATTAAAGGTGAGAATATTTTTGGATAGCGTCAGTAATAGTTAAGCGTAGCGTTCTGATATACAAAATGCATTAGGTGTCGTAGTTCCGTTCTTGTTTTATTTCTTGACAAAAAAAAAGTTAAAAAAACAAAGAAGTACTGTTATACATCATTTATATATATATATATATATATATATATATATATATATATATATATATATATATATATATATATATATATATATATATATATATATAACGGGCATGGTGGCGGGAGGCCGAAGGCGTGGGTATAAAACTGAGAAGAAAAAAACCCTTAGTGAAAAACAGCAACAACGGACGATTTAATCTTCGAGGTTTCGGCCGGTATCCGGCCTTCGTCAGGAAGTCCGGCCGAAACGTCGAAGATTAAATCGTCCGTTGTTGCTGTTTTTCACTAAGGGTTTTTTTCTTCTCAGTTTTATATATATATATATATATATATATATAGTTAAAGTTGATCATGATTCAGATATATTAAAATAAAATAATCCAGATTTGATATGTCCTAAGCAATTGAAGATAGAGTTATGAATAAGTATGTACAAGAACAAAACTTACACTTGTGAAATCGGAAAGTGACGTAAAAAAACGCTAAGGATAAACATGGTGGGGGATATAAACATTTAATCTTTATTAGATACAAAACTCTACCAGGCTTGTCTGTACTCATCAATACAAGCAGCCGTCTGCAGTATTATTAATAAAATTTACCCTCGCAAATGTAGGGGTCCTAGATAGGCAATAAAAAAAGTGCATTTTTACAAAACGACATAAAATAAAATGAAATAATGCGTTTATTTTATAGATAATGTTTTTTTTAAAGAATCAACAACACTGGAATATTTAAGGTTCTACATTTGTGGCCTTAGGAATGTTGAATTCACCTACTAAGACATGTATTATTATAAAAGTATTATGCATAATACTCAACTGCATGATGGATGGGCTGCCTGATTGATGTCATCGTCTACAATTATTTAGATCCCTCCTGAAAAACTATTAATTTCCAGTGTTGTTGTTTTTCGCTGTATTCTTTCTTCACAGCTCTAAATAGAGCTTCTTCCCACTCACAAAACGCATCATATATTGTACAATGACGTCACTGTTCTTTGCATTTGGCGTTCTTTCTTGCGTGTTTGGTTTTGAGATCAGACAAATCTTTCTTCCAGGGACCCGCAGACGACATGTTTTAATAATACTCCGCAGAGGCATAATAAACCTTTAAAGGACGACGAAATTAGAGGCATGGCAGTCTCAGCGCAGAAGTATTGTGAAACACAACACCCTGGAACAAACGTCACCTACCTCCAGGTATCTTTCTAAATTTCTTTACGTTCTGACACCTCAGGGAAATATGACACTCAGTTTTAATAACCGCTGTCATTTCTCTAGTCATATAACGGATCTCAATATGACCTGATGCGCTGTGAGATCATATGCTCATGGCGGGTAGGTCACTTATTGTATACGACCTTTTATGACGCTCCTGACAACACCCTTTGTGACGAGAAAGACAAGTCATTGGTGAGTTTCGTTCAAGCGTGTATTCCTGGAACTTGTACAGAATACCCTGAAAAATGGCTAACACCGTTTTCCCCCAAGTGAAACTGCTGCCGACGCCACGTTCCGATTATGCAAATCAAGCAGTGCCAAAAGTGCAAAGTCATGGCACTTTTCGTGCTTGTGCGTACCATATAGCGCATGCTAAACAAGTCTCAGAACGCACCACGAACTTGCACATTTATTTTCCGCGTCGGTGCTCATATGTTTTCGAGACTTTCACTGCGGCCTGACTTACGATGAGACGAAGAATAGTCCGCGTGGAGTCATTATAGCTTAGAAAGCGAATTCGGTCAAAACGAAGCCAAAATAAATGACTGGAATCGCTTTAGTTAGTGGCACGAAATATGATCACAGCCAAAATATTACGCCAAAATGAAGCCGCGTATACTCCACTACACCCGAATTAAAAATTGACGCGACCAGCGGTTATTTAGTTCTTTAGTGGGTTAGCTTTCAGTCGAGGGCCTTTGGCTCAACATTCTTGTGACAGCACGTCACGGTGGAGCCGCGGTTGATTGCTTGTAACGCATAACGTCCCACTCTTTTGTCGTCACGTCACGGCCGTACGGCAAATGATTAGGTGCTGCCATCCCTCTCGCAGATACTTTCGGTTTTGTTGTAGACACCCAAACCAAACTTTGAGCACTGATGTAATAAATCTGTACTCAATATAGAGAAAAATAATTATAACTTGTAATTCAGGGTGACCGCTTTAGCAGAAAAGAGTCTGAATCCCAAATTAAATAACAGGTGGACACTTACCGCCGAATTCAGAAACCTCACTCAAACTTTACTTACAGCGCGACCGGGACAAGGACAGACAGAGGAGAAACACAGAAACACAGGAAAAGCGCTGAACTAGCAACTGATTCTATTGAAAAGAAAAGACATGTGATGCTGCTGCTGCTCGTGCAGGCATGCCCCTCCGTGGCCCTGGCGCTTCTTCTTCCACCCAATGCGAAACCGGCCAAGTTATCCAAGATCCAAAAAGCCGATCTCGCTCCTCATCAAAGTCACTCTGGGTTGGCTCACACACAAGGATCCGGTTTTTGTTATGTGGTACGTCTCCATCATTTCTCGGGGTAGTTTGTGGTTGTGTCGGAACATCATTGTAGTCTTGTTGAACAGGGGTTGGCATCCGCAATGCCGGCAATGCATCGCGAGATGCGTGTGAGTGGTTCCTTTCTATGAAAAAAACCGCTCACACGCATCTCGCGATGCATTGCCGGGATTGCGGATGCCAACCCCTGTTCAACAAGACTACAGCGATGTTCCGACACAACCACAAACTACCCCGAGAAATGATGGAGACGTACCACATAACAAAAACCGGATCCTTGTGTGTGAGCCAGCCCAGAGTGACTTTGATGAGGAGCGAGATCGGCTTTTTGGATCTCGGATAACTTGGCCGGTTTCGCATTGGGTGGAAGAAGAAGCGCCAGGGCCACGGAGGGGCATGCCTGCACGAGCAGCAGCAGCATCACATGTCTTTTCTTTTCAATAGAATCACTTGCTAGTTCAGCGCTTTTCCTGTGTTTCTGTGTTTCTCCTCTGTCTGTCCTTGTCCCAGTCGCGCTGTAAGTAATTATGAACTCTTACCAACTCGCCCAATTGTCCATTTTACCTCACTCAAACTACACTCAAACTGAAGGGCCCCTCCACTTCCTCGAGGAAGGCGCGAGGGCCGGCGCTGGCCAATCGCAAGGACGGATCCGCCGTCGCGATTGGCCAGCGCCGGCCCTCGCGCCTTCCTCGAGGAAGGGGAGGGGCCCTTCAGTTTGAGTGTAGTTTAAGTGAGGTTTCTGAATTCGGCGGTTAGGATGGCTTATGTATAGGCATGCGGAAGTATTCCTACACGCAACGCAACCTTATAAGCAGCGCGCCCTGCTCCTCCGCGGCAGGACATGACTGAAAGCAAAGCGTAGAACACCTGACACAGGAGCGCACGGCGACCGGAAAAAAGCAATCGAAGTAACAAAAAAAAAAACAAAAAAAAACCGGTTGCATAACGACGGCGCTTTTGCTGCCGTCGGACTTCGTTTTCGCGTCGTCTGCTTTCTTTAGCTGGTCGGCTGCAGCTTTCAACGCTGCTCCCGACTTCATCTATCCATACGCGTGTAACGAAGCGAAGAAACTGAATCGGTGTGTAGGTCCGTGACGTCCCATAAGAAAACACTGCCGCGTTCAGTTTCCACGTTAAATTTAGCGTTAAAGGTAACCTCACATGACGTCAACGGCAATTCAGTTTTCCCGCTAAATTTAGCGGGGAATTGAGTTGGTGTTAGGGTAATGTCAATTTTCTCACTAAATCTAGCGAAGCAACTGAATTTGTTCATAAGTTACATGACATGATAGCCGTTGTCCTGTCGTACTCTTTACCCGTTCTTCGTCCCTGTTTATCTGAGGCTATTTTTCATCATGTTTAACATGAAACCATGTGACGTCATTTTCCAGCTAAATTTAGCGGGGAAACTGAATTCGTGTAGAGGTCACGTGGTGTCAATTTTACGGCTTAATTTAACAGGAAAACTGGGAGGAGGGGAGGGTAAGAAGGAGGAGGAGGGGGAGGACGATGGAGAGGGGTGGAGAAGGCAAGGAGGAGGGGGAGGGGAGGAAAGAAGGGTTTTTCATACCCTCCCGTTCCTCCCCCTATGTACACTTCCCTCCTTCTTCCTACCCTCCCCTCCTCCTCCTGCGTACCCTCCCGTCGCAGCAGATCGCAAAATCAAAATACTCAGGAGCTGCGCTCCAATTTCGCATTAGAGAGATTTGTAAACGTCATTCAATTTTCGGCGTAACCGCGCGTTGCTTTATAAGACTATCTCTTAATGGCGTCACATGTGACGTTACGAGGGTCATGCGGGAGGAGGAGGAAATTTTGTGCGCTAAATATAGCGGGAAAAATTCTTCGCTAGATTTAGCAAAAAAATTTCCCCGCTAAATTTAGCATAAACAATTCTCCGCTGAATGTAGCGGAAAAAATTCGCCGCTATATGTAGCCAAAAAATTTCTCCGCTATATTTAGCGGGAAAATTTCCCCCTAAATTGAGCGGGAAAATGTACTGTTAAATTTGGCGGAAATTTTCACCACAGAATTTATGAAGAAAATATTCCCTGCCACATTAGCCGTAAAATTTCCCCACTAGATTTGGTGAAAAAAAAATTCCCGCTAAATTAAGCGGGAAAATGTTCCCACTAAATTGGTGCCAAAATTTCCCCGCTAAGTTTAAAGGAAAGATATCCCCACTAAATTTTGCGGATAAATTTTTTCCGCTAAAGTAAGCGGGAATTTTATCCATTAATTTTTTGGGAATTGTTTTCTCTGAATTTAGCGAAGAAATTTTCCCCCAAAATTTAGCAGAATAATCTCCCGCTCAGGTTTGCAGAAAATTTCCCCGATAAGCTTAACGGGAAAATTTCCCCACTCATAGTTTAGCAGAAAAATTTCCCTAAACTTAGCAGAAAAAATTCCCCGCTAAATGTAACGGAAAAGCTTTCCCGGTAAATTCAGCGGAAAGACTTCGCCGCTAAATTCAGAGAAAAACATTTCCCATTAAATTTAGCGAAAAAGGTCTTCATTCAATTTAGCAATAATATTTACCATCTAAATTTAGCAGGAAAAGTTACCCCGCTAAATTTGGTGGAAAAAATTGCCGTTGAACTTGGCGGTAAAGTTTTCCCGCTAAAATTGGCAAAAAATTTTGCCCCGCTCAAATTAGAGGAAAGATTTCCCCTGCAAATTTGGCGGACAAATGTCTTCGCTAAATTAAGCGGGAATTTTATCGGCTAAAATTTGTGGGGAATTTTTTACGCTATATTTAGCGGGGAATCTTTTTCTGCTCAATTTAGCGGAAAAGGCTTACCGCTAAGTTTAGCAAAAAAAATTCCGCTTAAATTAGGGAAAATTTCCCTGCTAAGTTGAACAGGAAAATTTCCCCACTTAGTTTAGCAGAAAAAATCCTCCCTAGAATTAGCGGAAAAAATTTCCCATTAAATTTAGCAGAAAGCTTTATCCACTAAACTTCACGGAAAACATTCGCCGGTAAATTTAGCGGAAAGACTTCTCAAAAAAATTTAGGAAAAACGTTTTCCGCTACATTTAGTGAAAAAAGGTCCCGACTAAATTTAGCGCAAAACTTTTCGCGCTAAGTCTAGCGGGAAAATTTCCCGGCTAAGTTTGGTGGAAAAACTTTCCCCTAAATTTAATGGTAAAATTTTCCCGCTAAAGTTGGCGGAACAGTTTCCCCGCTAAATTTATAGCAATGATCTCCCCGCTAAATTTGGCGGACACATTTTCTGCTTAATTAAGCAGCAATTTTATCCGCTAAATTTAGCGCGGAATTTTTTATGCTAAAATTAGCGGGGAATCTTTTTCTGCTGAATTTAGCGGGGAAATTTTTCCGCCAAATTTTGCACCAAAGATTTCAGCTAAATATGGCGGAAATTTTCTCTGCTAAGCTTGGGGGAAATATTTTTGCACTTCATTTGGCAGTAAAACTCCCCCTAAACTTAATGGAAAAATTTCCCGCTTATTTTAGCGGAAAACGTTATCCACTAAATTTAGCGGAAAAGACTTTCCCGGTAGATTTAGCGGAAAAACGTCCCCGCTAAATTCAGGAAAAATCATTTTCCGCTAAATTTGGTGAAAAATATTTCTCGCTAAATTTAACCAGCAAATTTCCCGCTAAATTCAATGAGAAAATTTCCCCGCTAAAGTTAACGAAAAAATTCATTCTATATTACGAAAAAAATGAAAGCCGTTTACAACTCCCTGTAACGCCGAATTACAGCGCAGCACTTGAGGAGGCGGAGGGAAGGGTACTGGGGGGTGGGGTCAAGCGACCTCGGGGGGGCGGGGTCACGTGACCTTCTGGGAGTCACGTGACCTTGGGGTGTCACGTGACGTCGGGGTCACGTGACCTTGGGATGTCACGTGACGATGCCGATGACCTCATCAGTGACGTCACTAATGACGTCATCAGTGACGATCACGATGCGGATACCGGTGACGTCATCGGTGATGATGATAATGACGATGATGCGGATGCAGGTGACGTCATCAGTGACGTCACTGATAACGCTATCGGAGATGATGACGATGACGATGTGGATGCCGGTGACGTCATCAGTGGCGATTACATCAACGGGGTCACGTGACCTGGGGGACCTGGGTAACAATCGTGACCCTCTTGAGGGTAACCCTAGTAACCTTTGTGAGGGCAACTCTCATGACCCTCGTGAGGGCAACTCTCGTGACCCTTGTGAAGGTAACTCTAGTGACGCTCGTGAGGGTAACACTCATAACTCTCGTGACCCTCGTGAGAGTAACCCTCGCGACCCTCGTGAATGTAACCCTTTTGAGGGTAACGAACCCTTGTAACCCTCGTGAGGGTTACGAAGGTTAGTAACCCTCGTAGCCCTCGTGATCCTCGTGAGGGTAACCCTCGTGAGATTAACCCTCGTAACCCTCGTAACCCTTACGAGGGTTACGGGGGTTACTCGCGGTTACGCCGACGGCGACGGCGATGCCGCTCAAGCCGGGAACGGGCGCCTAAGAGCTGAGCTCTGAAAGTCAAAGCCGCTTACAAGTCCCTGTAATGCCAAATTAGAGCGCAGCTCTTGAGGAGGAGTAGGGAAGGGTAATGAGGGGGGGTCACGTGACTTTGGGGGGGTCCCTGGATCTCGGGGCGGGGGGTGGGGAGTCACGTGACATCGGGGGGTCACGTGGTCTCGGGTGGGGTGACGTGACCTCGGGAGAGGGGATCATGTGACCTCCCCCCTACCCGAGTTCACAGAAGGTACCCGAGGTCCTCCCGAAGGAACCCGAGGTCCTCCCGAGGTCCTCCCGAGGGAACCCGATGGACCCCACCCGAGGTCATCGGAAGGGGGGGGGGGGTCGCGGTTACGCCGACGCCGACGCCGCTCAAGCAGGAAACGGGCGCCTAAGAGCTGCGCTCTAAATTTCCCGCTAAATTTAGCGGAAATATTTATCCGCTAAATCTGGCGGAAAAACTCCCCCTCTGAATTCAGCAGAACATTTCGCCGCTAAACTTAGAAGAAATATTTCCCCGCTAAATTTGGCGGAAAACTTTTTTCGTTAAAATAAGTGGGAAGTTTATCTGCTAAATTTAGCGGGGAATTATTTACGCCAAATTTAGTGGAGAATTTTTTTCCGCTGAATTGAGTGGGGAAATATTTCGGTTATCTGGGATGGGAGCAGAAGAGTTGGAGGGGAGGGGATGAGGAAGAGGAGGGGCATACCCTCGCCTCCGTATCCTCGCCTCCCCCCTCCTCAATTGCTGCGCTCAAATTCGGCATCGCAGGGGATTGTAAACGTCAGATTTTTTTTTATCTACGTTCCATAAAAAGGGAGCTACAATTTGTAATTTTTTAGGGCAAAACCTATTTCTAAAATACACCTTTGACGAAACGTTTAGACTGCTACGTGCAGGCGCCGATTTTTACGGCCGTTTTAGTCCCAGCCTCGGTATTGCAATCACCTTACATATCAGTTAAAACTTCTGGTCTCTTGAAGTTAGAGCGGAGATAATTCTTGGGCTATTTCCGCGCGCACAGACACACACAAGCAAACAATACGTTCATGTAAAGTGTTTTCGCCCAAAATGTGTTATAATTTTACAGGCGGTCGATGTAAAAGAATACTAATATTTTATTTTGGGGAGACTGGCTTGCTCGGGACCCTACACAGTGCAAGGTCTGTGCTGGGGTCTAAATCTTTTATTCGATGTCAAAACACTTGCACTCGTTTGATTTACAAAACCCACAACGTTTTTGTTCATTTTCCTGGTCTGCATTAAGAAAGAGTGCAGTCGAATTCCCACTGACTTGAAGACATTCACAGCAATACCTAAATCCGCATAATTTTTCACGTCAATTCTATATCTTAATATAGGCTGGTAATTGTAACGGCCATTTTAGTTCCAGCCTCGGTATTCCAGTCACTTTCTATATCAGTTAAAACTTCTGATCGCTTCAAGTAAGAGCGTAGATAATTGTTGGGGTATTTTTGCGCGCACAAACACAGACAAACAAACAATACGTTCATGTAAGGTGCTTTCGCGCAAAAGCTGTTATAATTTCACAGGCGGTCGATGTAAAAGAATAGTAATATATTATTTTGGGGATATTTGTTTGCTCGGGGCCCGTGCAAGGTCTGTGGTTTAAATCTTTTTAGTCGATGTCGAAACACTCGACGCTCGTTTGATCTAAAATGCCCAAAACGTTTTTGTTTATTTTCCAGGTCTGTATTAACAAAGACTGCATCCACATTCCCACTGACTTGAAGACATTCACAGCAACACCTAGAACCGCGTAATCCTTCACGCAAATTCTATATATTGATATAGGCTGGTAATTTGCTGGAAATAAAATATAATTTTTTGGTGATTAAACCTTTACGTTGTTATTATGTGGTCTCACGCTCACTTCTGAACACGCATGTATTGGTTCATTCACCATAAAACGCAAGCATGACAAAAATGAAAGTGAATAAAACAAGGGTATCCCTAAACGAAACTTATGAATGTGTTACAACATATAAGAATTTAGCAGTGTCGAGCGCTCCAAAGCATTATATATATACATCAGTGCATAGTCGTAGACTTCGGGGGGGGGGGGGGGGGGGGGGCGGCATTGGGGCTCGTGCCTTCTCTGGTGAGATTCAAGGGAGTGGAAGGAGGGGGAAAGACAGGCCCCCCCCCCCCCCCCCCCTAGGGCCCGGGCCATGATTCTTACCGAGATACTGTTTACGCCCTTTGTAACGAGCTTCCAGTAGTGACATGTAAACAAAATAACGCCCATGTTGCCTTTATTGCCAAAATACATGTGAAATGGAATCCCGGCGTGCTTTCGTTAGTTAGCTTCAATCTCCAGTTCTGGCATAAAGGTAACGCGCAGCACCCCCCCCCCCCCCCCCCCCCCCCCCCCCGGAGGACGTCTCAGCCCGCCCTCCCGTCCTCCCCGGGAAAATGGAAAGTCTACGCCGCAGTATCAGTGTTCTAGAACTCATTTGAGTGTGCGGCCAGATAGCCCACACCGAAAAGGGTGAGGACCATTGTAATATGTAGAGGGGTGGAAGCGGGGGGGGGGGGGGGTTCAAAGGACTTGAAAGAATCCTCGTGCTCAATGCTTTTTGTAACCTCACTGTTTAGCTAGTGACATCTTAAGATTCGGTTTGTAAATTACTACTTTGGGCCCTAACATGACATGATAAAATAATTAAATGACACCTTCCCGCTTTAGGGCTGGCGTTTTTAATGCAACAACAGAGCAAGTGCACCTTCGTTTCCGTTGCTCAATTCCCTTAGGAATTAAGCAAGTTCAATATGTATCTGAAACCAACCAGTTAATTTGACAGTTCTTTCTTTGCTGGCGATATTTGTTGCACCACTTTCAACAAATACTTGTCTTCTAATCGTGATAGTTTTTCAACATTAGAATCCCGAGATCGTAGCTTTATCTTTGGCCGTTGCTCCTGCTGATCGAGTTCGAGCAGCCAAGAAGCATCCTTCAACGAATAGCTCGCGCTGATAGGCTTGGAATTTTTTGACATTACAAAAAGCCGGGAAGCAAAAATTAAAGCGAAACAAAGAGAAAATTAACACATATAAGTATAAACTATGTGAAGAGGTGAAAAGAGCAGAGCTACTTTTCGAGCGAAAATGAATCGACGAGATGAGGTCACCATAGCGCACGCCATTTCTAAAATTTGAGACATTGGAACCTGGACTCCGGTCTGCCTGGAGGTTCTTCCCAGCGAGTCGCTGGCCGCATGCGGCTCGCGGGCCCCTTGTTTAAGACCCCTGATATATATGTTTAAACAATTAAAGCAGGAAATTAGCTTCTAAGGCCTGCAAGTGTGTAAAACATTGGTGAACACTGGTGCAAGCCCGGGGGGATGCCTCTTATATAGATGGTCTGCCTAGATGTAGCAAAGGGCATTTTAATCAGCCTACTGAGAAGTGTTCATTGTAGTAATTGATTTTAAGCGACAATATGGGGGAATATTTTGAAGGGACTGCGAATTTCAAGCTGAATGATGACATTACAGGCGGTGTGACTACCCCTTAGTTTATAAAGAAAACCAATCTCACGTAGGGCCTCGTTTTACCGGGTGTGTTTTTTTTTCAGTCGATCAAAATTTATTTAAAATAAACATTTACTTTAGAGTTTTTGTAGCTTTGGGGTCAAGTTGTCCGGAATAGCGGCTGCAAGAAAATAATTTAAATTGGTTAATTAGCTAGCTAAATAACTCACTTTTTTTATTAACTTATAAGGTTTTTTTTGTGTGTGCGGAGCAATTCATTCTGTTTAGAGATTAATAGTATGAAGATTAATCCGTGCCATAAAAATTAGAAAAGAGTCGTGCTAGGCCTTACGGGTCGGTAAATGCCACCCATGTAGACGGCTTCAATGCCGAACTCGGCAGGCAAAAAACAACAGTAGCTTCCTCCCCCTTCTGTCGACTGCGCAACGAAAACCACCTGCAATAGCACCTCTTTTCCCTGCTTAATTTCGGTTTCACGCCTTGTATAAGGGTGACATTGACCGCCCTAAGAGACCGCTACAACTTTTTAATCAAACTTTCGCGGCATGGCTATACCATCTGAAGTCGAACATCACTTTTCCTAATACATTATGGCGCCAAAATATGCTTTTAAACCGTTTATTAACTTTTTTGTTAATTAGCCTTCTAATAACCTATTTCGCCTCTTCAAATAGGAAAGTGATCGGTCAAATAGTCTGGCGCTGACAAGCATTCAAGTCGAAAAACATTGTGCATTTCCGAACATGGATAAAAACAAAATTCGAAAAAACATCAATTTTTTTTAATAGGAATTGCTACAGAAATCAAATCAAGGTTGAACGCTGTTCTTGCGGAACCATCACCGTCATTTTCCAAGGTAAGTGTCTGAATTTCAGAATTCAAACGTGGCCGCATGGACACCAGACGTGACCCACGTCCAGGAAGTAAACAAAATGTCTATAATACCCAAAATTGTGGACAAATTATTGACATGGTCTTAGCGAATCGCTGAATAAGGGTGCGTGAAATTCAGAAAGCCGTGGCTCTGCCTTCCGAACGACCATTTCATATTTCACAGAATAAACTAGGACAAAAATAAAAGGAAACGTTCTACAAGATAGGCGCCGCACCGCAAAAAGGCATTCCAGCCGGACATCAACCGTTAATTTGTAAGTGCAAAAAAAAAAAAGAAGAAAAGGTCATTTCAAGAGACGACTTGTGACTATGGATGAGACCTGGATTCACCACAACAGCCCCAAAACTAAAATGCAATCGAAACAATAGACAAGACACGGTGAGTAGGTTCCGAAGAAGGTAAATACTATTCTGTCGGCTGTAAAAGTGACGGCATCAGTCATCCGGGACGCCAAGAGAATTTTGCAAATAAATGATCATGTAGAAAAAAAAAAACGGTTACTGGCCATTACTACTCAACACCTTTGGAGAAGCTGAAAGAAGTAATTCAGGAAAGACGCCCGAGTAGGATCCGGGCATCCTGTTTTTTCAAGTCTTTTTCGAAATGCACATTTGATCACAGTCAATCGAATGGGTTCCTACAGTGCCCTCGTTCACAAAACCTGCTTAGTAAAATCATTCACAGTGAAAAATAATTGTGTTGTATGCATGTTTCGACTCCGTGGAGTTAGCCGGTTTCAATGGGCGTCGGCTGTTACACCTGTAAATGGCGAATTGGGCATGTGAGGCACCGCTGCCTGCCTGGGGTCTTCACGTGCATCTTACAGTAGTGAGATATACGTGCGGTGCTCATTCGGATCAAAGCAGGCGGGGGGCGGAGATTGGACTCGGAATCTCCGGATTATCGAATGCGAACATTCGTTACACATGCTCCGAGCCGCGTTGCGCAACACACACGGCTACAAATCTTACCGAAATTTGTATGTCATTTAAGAGGATGACCTAGCTATTTTCTTGTAAAACATACTCACTTTGTCGCTCTCATTTTGTGTGCATTTGCGTATAAAAGACGTGCATGGGGCCAAACTGTGCTTAGCACTACCGCATAAACTTCCTCAGCTAATAGATATTTCATATTTTGGAGACTGCTCGTGTGATGTAAGTTGATCACAGTAGTAAGGCCTGAAAGTGGGCAGAAAAATAACCCAGTGGGAGAGACAAGAAAAGCAGAAAAATACTGAAGTCAGACGTCGTTTTTCCTTTCTTTAAGCGATAGCGTTATGGAGTCCGTGTCGTAGAGAAGCCAGCATTGGCGTCGGTTGCGTTGTGACGGGAAAATCCTGAGTGGACGATAGGATAATGACGTCACAACCACGTGACCCCACGTGGGAATTTCAAACAACCGACTACACTCACGTGAAACGTTGCGTCACGCGTGGAATGAACATGATTGAAGAACATGACATGTAATGCGAATGAAAAGTCGCAACATGTCTCAAATTATTTAACTTTGCAAAGTAATTAATTTCCCTTAAAGAAAAATTTAAAGAGTCTTGGGTGAAATTTTATCCCTCGACCCATCGGTTGCAAGCCAGATACGCAACTAACCACGCAAGGCACAATCGCACGTCGATAAAGAAGGCGATGCGACCGGGGCCCAATAACGTTGTCATTCAACTCTGAAAAGTGAAGCTTAAGCGTCCTCAAAGCTTTCTTTTTCTGCCCTCCATTGGTATGTTTTTGCCCCCTCCCAGTATAAGGTTTTGTAATCATAATGGGTTGACATCTAAAAGAACAGTGGTCCATCGACATATTTCTAAGTTTTTGTTTCCTCGCAAAGGCTTTGCCTCGTTGCCTGTTTATTTTGAGTTATCAGTGCGTTATTTCATCATGCGTATTATTAAAACACATGGAATAAACACAAGAACCACAGAGTAGGTCGGGTTGTCAGGTATAAACTGGAGAGCTTTGTTGTAAAGTAAAAAGAAATACGAGTTTAATACTTACATTGGGCAGTTGAAGCTTCTGATGTGGGTCATCACCGTCCTTCCATTCTTCTTTCGCGATCTCTTTCTCTCTCGACTGACTTCTTAGTACTCACCCAGTTAAGTGTCGCGCGAAGGCGATAGCATAATATTAGTTTTATGAAAAATTAAAATTCGCAAGCGGATTATTTCGGCTACACGGGCGCCATTTGTAGGGTGCTCGCCCTTCGTTCGGTGTGGTGACAATCAAACCTGTGTCTTTTGCAGACTTACACCGTGGGGTTGTAAAATGTGTTCTTAGTTTCCTTTTTTAGTAAGCATATTCGTTGGCGTAAAGAGGTGTGATATACATTAAGAAACCGATTTATGAGGTTCCTTCAAAAGGTGAGC